TGATTACGGATGCTGATTACGGACATAATGGTAGTCGCTCATTGGTCTTGATAGATAAGATTACATTAATAAGCTTCTAGAAGGATCGAGAAGGACAGGCTTAGAGGTAGCACAGGGTAGCGAACTAAGGACCTAAATATATTCACTTCGGTTTTTGCCATCTTATCAACAATTTTTATGCTTTGAACAGTAGCGTCATCGTGCCATGGTTACACCATGGTACAGTTTGCTCCTACAAGCATCATCCGCATCTGAAGTCCTCTCCTATATACAAAAGACGTAGCCTCCATGGTCCACGAACATGAGGCTATGTTTGGTGAAGCAGCCAGATGAGATCGGTCCCGATAGCAATTCAGGTCCTGGTCCTGGTTCAGCTCCTTTTTTTCTTCGACAGATTCACCAAGGATAAGGTGTTCACTACGATAGGTATATCCTCTGCACGAGGAACGCTCTCTGTATCCGTTTTACGACAACCCCCAGCTCATTATCAATGATCTGGAGTTGGCTCAGTAAGCGGGACTTGTCGGTCTGTGAGCGTGAGAGCCACAGCATATTTCGTAGGCTCCATATTGGCTGATCGATCAGAAGTTGCCCGCCGCTCGATGGTGAAGCCCTTACAAGCCTCTGCTTGCAGGCCGGTGCATAAATTGTTGCTCTCGTCTTTTATTTTCCGAGAGTTAAGAACAAAGGGTGCAAGTCATAAGTGGGTACTCGGGAAATCTTGCCAAAGTCACGTTATAAATTTGCATGAGTATTTTGAGGGAGATGTATACATTCACATCACCATATTCTGGTTACAGCACTGTAAATTTGTCGTCTCACTAATTTGTTTTTCATTGAAGTTGGTCCCAAGCAGTGCCGGTGGAGGGCGACCCTCCTGCGGCTCTTGTGATCCTTGGTGATGAACAGGACGGGTCAACTCTATGCAAGATTCCCGACATGCGGCGGAGCACACATGAATCAAGTTGGATTTGCCCTCCGCGAAATGACGTTGTACAGAGTGGTCTTAAGTGATTCAAAGCTGTATTGCTGTGTTGAAATGGAAGATAGCTCAGCTACAAAGATTTTATGTGTTTTGTCTTTATTAGAGCGCTTCACCTTCGGACAGTTTTGGAGATCAAGATCATAGTTTGGCTTTTACAAGGCCACGCAGAAAACAGGATGTGGTTGCAATTATCCCGAATAGTAATAAAAAGCTCACTCCCTATGTTGCAACGATTGTGAATAGTTCGTATTTGAGGATTAAAAAACAGCTTGGTATTATAGACCACATATAGGCGTGCAAGAATAGCTTTTTTCGCTGCGTATTTTAGTAATTTCTCTATCTGTATGTTGCTTTTGTACATCCTGAATCTCGGTCATGACGTCGCGCACTCAGCGTATGACGCTCGATGGCGTCAAAACAGAATCCTCGATCGTGCTACGAATTGATACCAGCAAGTCGTATTATATAAACACCCCCTTCCTAGCATGATCAAAGCCACTTCGTGGTGGTATCATTGGGACATGGGATTTGATAAGCTGTAGTGTGTATGACGTCACTCAACGCAATCCAATGAGTTGAGAAATTTTGCTATAGTACCGCGGGCTTTCCGCGCAAGACCTCAAGAAGAAAGTTAACACGCAATTAACGTGTCCAGTCTGATCATATGTTTTAAATAGTCAACGATGCGCATGTTTAATCTCGCTTCTAAGCATCTTTGACAGAGCTCTCGATGACTTCGCTGCATAACGCGGATCTCGATCACAAACAATGGCCATCAGCCATGCTGGCGGGAATTTAGTTAAGTAACAGTTCGACTGTATCCAAAAAGCAGCTCCGGTGACACTGACAGCTGCAAGTCGAGCCATCTTGTTCAGATGATGCACAAATGCCGCCTGGCCATAATTGCCAACCTCGTCTACTAAGAAAAAATCAGACTACTGGACTTTCAAGATTCTGTCAAAATATGTGTACTTGGCAGATGCGCCGATACATGCTGTAAGAATTTGACCCGCTGACATCTTTAAACTAGCACGTATCCATTTATACACCGATTGTCTTTTCCACCGATTAAATGCGCACCGAGTAATATGTCTTTTCTCTTTTAAAAGGTGGCCACTAAAGGAGATCTCATGTGCACAGAAACAGTATTCTATACCTAATACCCTCGTCATGAGGTACAAAATACACTGAGAGGCGTTTGGTTTAGTGCTGTATTTAAGCAGTCCTCGGGATAAGATGCAAATGCGCAACCAGAACCTTCGATAAAGAAGTAAATAAGTCTAAAATTTTGCTGATTTCTAAAGTCTTCATCAATACAACACATGGTGCGTCCCATACACTGTACACATTGCCTTATCGATGCGCGATGTTACTATTGTATCAAACCACAGCTTAAAGTCGAAGCGACACAAAAGCGCATCGGTCACCACATCAAGTCCACCCGGATCATACCTTACCTTAAAGACCTATTCGGCAAAGAAGGTTCCGAGGAGACGATTTGGTCACGATAGCACTATGTGCACCGAGGCATGACCCAGAGTCAAGAAGTTTTACCCTGATCTTGCCAAGGGTATATTTCATGGCAAGTCGGTCTTTGTCATAATCTAGATATCTCTTTTTACCGCTTTGAGCGCACGAAACTCAAACGATGACTTCCTCATGCCCATCAACATCTGCTTGGAGTAAAGCATATATTATGGCGAAGGCTGACGCGTCTAAGACAACATGGAATGACCAATCCGAATTCAGCAGGGCCAGAATTTGTGTATTCGTTAAGCTTTTTTTCTGCCTAGCAAGCCGCCTCTTTTGCGCTCTGTTCGAGAAGATTAGTGAGGGGTCGTGCCATGTCGGTATAACTTGCACTAAGTAGCCATGCCACTCCCCTTAGTCCCTTTGGGACAGCGGCAATGGCTAATTTAAGTGGCCTTCATCTCGCGCAAGTCATGCTTCCAAGTAAAGTATCCCAGAAAGGGGATTCTGTCGTACATTTGTCTATATATACGAATGCCTTTAAAAGCGCAATAATTCTGGCACTAATCAAAAGACTTTGATGTGGATATCCACGTCCGATTATCTGAGCTCTGGAACACAACGCTGAGTATTGCAAAAAAATAAATTTGTTAGCACACCATTATACGGTACGTACCGCGGCAAAGCTAGTAGGCAATAAGTATTCAATGGACATCGCGTGCTGACCGTCCGTTTTTTTATAATTCTTATCATCATATTGTTCATTCTTTTATTTAAATTATTTTATATTACAAGTCTATGAATTTTGATTATACTTTCTCCGCTTACTGAAAGAATAACGTTAGCTTAGGGAATTTATTTTTCGGACACAGAAACAGTATATTAATTTTGCAAAACTACAGCTAATGTGCATTGTGTGCCAGTTAGCCATCTTCACGAACCGCAGCGGGAGACGTACGTCCCACAAAGGTATATGATTTCCCTTACGGTGGTTTTAATCGCAACTGGAGCTAATTCAGTTCAAATCTGGGTTAAAGCTCAATAAATGACAACCCCACTTTTACCCCAAAGACACAGTATAAATTACAGCTATCAAAACGGGGTGAGGTTTGCATTACTCCACCGTGCTGATCAGAGACAATACGTTTTTGTGTATCTCCTCGGGAATTGCATTCTTTAAGGCGTAGTCTTTCGACTAATTGTAATCTGATCCCTGCTTCTTTCCTAGACGACGATAAGTGCAAGGCCGTTTTCGTCAAAATACTCTATGGCTCTGGGGGTAACTCAGAGCCGGGCACTTGTGCGACAATGATGAAAAAAGCCGCGACTCAAAATGTTTTACCCCATTAATCATCACACTTTGTCGGAGCCGCTGGAGAGTTATTATTTATACATGCATGTGTGTCTAAGAGATCAAAAACGCAGTGTATTCCATCGGAGTCCACCTTTAGCTCAAAAGAGATGCAGAGTAAAGCAGCAAAGAAGATGGGCACTGTGAATTCGAGACCTGTTGTCCATATAGCTGTCTTCCAAATTGATCTTGATATGGCTGTCTAGCCGGCCAAATTCCACTGTCGTGACAACCGCAATAAATCCCGCCTTCCTGCTTGGTTTACTCCGTGTGCCTCATGCTTTTAACGTCCCCCTAATTCGTGTATGCCACTGGAACAGGAAGCGCTAAAAGCTTAACAAATTCCCTCATTTATCTGTAAAGGCTAAGTCATCAGTCAAATTTTGGGCTTCTGCCCCGTTTGGCATACCTTGAAAAGGTCAGTTGTAAACCATTTGAGCAATAGAGGAACACGGAATAGCGCGCAACATGTGATGCAAAAAAGCTAAAGTAATCAGTACTTTTAAGGATTCGACTCAACATGAATTCTACCACGGTATCAATTGAAGTTGGATGCGAAGAAGTAGAAATAAAGCTGATTACGAGTGCTGTGTTCCTCAGTGAAATCAAATATAAACATGTGCAGAAGATCCACGTATAAAGTCTCGAAGATGGTCTATCTATATGGTGCATAAGTTTATCTTGACCAAGTTTACGTACGAATTCAACAACATTTCTGTATATCGAGAAGTTACCTTGGTTTTGATACTAAAGACAGGTCACTAATTGTGTTTTCAATACTGTCAAAAGAAGCATCTGTACATTTTGCAATGATATCTGGGCAATCGTCGATACCGCTGGCTGGGTGACCAAGCCCACTGTCTTAACACTGCTAATTCTTTAGCAAACGCTGCAACAGGGAACTGTACGTTAGCACATAAGATCACCTTCAAAATTATATCTCCCAATAATATCTGGAGCGGTTTACAGAATGCCTCACTTCCACACATTTATTTTTGTAGTATACGGTTGTGTGCAGTGCATGCTTAGCGCTCTTCAATATATTTTGTCTTTCAAGCACAAGAGGCTTGACAGTTAGTAATTCATCTACAATCATTGCTATCAAGACTAACGCCGTCATCACTTCGCAATAGGTGAAAGCTATAAAAATGTGATCTCGATATGAAAGATTCGGTTTGAGTGAGCAGGTACGTAAACGCCTTTCCATTTGGCTGCAATTTTGACTATTCCACCGCAACCACGTCGACTCGGCGGTGGACGTGATAAACACTTAATCAAAATGGATAGTGCAGGGACTGGGGGATAGACTGGTCACCGACAACACGCTGAGTATGAGGGCAGCATGAGTGCAAAAAACAAAAGCAGCTCCAAAATTGAAGACATAATCACACCCAATTTAATATCGTCGTCGGCTTCACTTTCTATCACCATCTGCTTTTCCTGATTTTATCATAGACATTTGCGTGTGTTATTTTTCAATTCTTATACATCGCCGCAGCTATTGCGAAAAGGTAGGAGCTTGGTACGTTTAAAACTACGCTCTCAAGAGTTCTTACTGCGCATAGCAACGGCGTTACACGAATTGACAACACTCTCCTCAGCGTAGAAATTTGGCTTCATTTTTGGAAAATGATACTGTTTCCGATCATCCTGGTATAGACTGCGACGCAGACGAGCCTGGTATAAAACCTGGTCGTGGCAGGTGCCTCCACCGGCTGATGCCATATATGAACATTAACAAAGTGTCACGTATTTCTTGGCTAATCCGTGAGCAAAAATTTGCACCATGTGCTGATATGATGCAATTATCGATGAAATAGTGCAGGCTTTGATCTAAATTTGTCTCCATTTAAAAATCAGGCCTGTCGGCTGATGGAGACTTTGTGCTAGCTGCTGTGCCGACTTTTCAAATGGCGGAAAAAGCGTTGAGCCTTTTATCGGGTGTAGGTCGGTGCAATAGCACCGTACTTTCTAGCCCTTGCTGCAGTTGACTTTAGTTATGTGCATACCATTTACTGCGTGTGGATAAAAAATATATTTATGGTATGTAGATCGAGCTAAAATTTGATCATTCAAAAGCACCAAGAAGTTTATAATAACAAAGTGATGGATTGCTCTTTTCGCAGATTTTATTGCCAGATGGATTGCAAACGTAGTAAGTTACATAGACTCTGTTGTTTCGCCACTCAAGAGTTAGCAGTACCGTGACAGCGATATCTGTACAAAGCGAGACTTTGTGAAAAAAAACACGTAAAAGGTGGATCGAGGAGGACTGTGGAGGTCAAAAACCATATTTGGACTCTTGTGCTCGATAAGGAAGTCGAGAGGAATCAAGAGCATAATTCCAAAACAATTTGCAGGCCCTTAGCTCATGTATTTTCTGACGAAAAATTGTCAGCAGTACCCATGACAGTGATGCTTTAGACTGGATCGCAATGGAGAGCTCGTCTCTCCCGGATCCATTAGTACGATAAGTCAGAGTCTTTTGACTTTCTACAAGTATTTGTTCTTGTGCCGCTGAGAACATTCCAAAAGAATTAAGCTGGTATTTATTTCTTACATCCAATTTACATTAGTTTCTATTGTCTATGTGCGTACACCTTCATGGGTGAGCGCAATTTAATACATAGCGCTGAAAGCCCACTCAACATTGCTAGACTCAAGTATGCGGGACTCGAGATCAAACTCTGCAAAAGTCTTGCTATCACAGTTGACGTCCTTTAGCTCTTGATTGTTGGACGACTGCTGCTTAATCTGCTGAGGAGATTTCGAGAGCAAAAGCTTTTCTTGTTGATGCTCTTTCTGCCGGCATTGCTCTTGTACGGCAGTTTTCATAGCGCGGATGGTGCGGTTGACCTTCTCGAGATAAACCATATTTGACTTGCAGTCAACGGAGCAAAAGCCGGGATGCTTACTAAGCGTTTTAAGGTAAATGTGTTGGCAGTTGTTGCACTTTTCACGCTTCTTATCCCAATACGCGATGCGATTCCGCGATGAGTCAAGCGGTGGCTCCTCGTCTTGAGAATTGGGCAGTTGGGAACGTGGCGCGCTATGGATGTGCGAGCGCGGGACGCCTGAGGCGAGTAGCACCTTGTTGGTCTTTTCAGCGGGTACCGACTTGTTGGAAGTGAACAGCAAACTGCTAGCAAGCTTGTTAAAGAAGGCGTCCATATGCGTGAAATGATGTTTGTCAAGCTGCTGTTGCGCGTGGTGCAGTAAAAACTGAAATGAGTGAGCCGCTGTACTCATCCAACCGGTTGCCATCTGCTTTTGCTAGTTTGAGCTGCATCGTCGATACAGTTTCGTCAATTACAGTGCAGTACTAAGTTTGACAAGATTACAACTCCGGCTCGGTCGATACAAAGACAGTGACTATATCTCGATCTCTTGTTCAAAACGAAGAGTAATTCGCCAAGGCTTAAGGTAAGAAAAGAGGCGGTAGCTTAAACCGTACACATGAAAGAACAAGATAAAGTACGGCTTTAACTCAGCTCTTTGAATTATTGCTATTAATGTTCTAGCTTTGATTGATTTTTTTGTCATAGATTGACATTCCTGTTTTATTCATTAGGTGAGCTTTGTATCCCCACCTATTTTTAAGAAGGGTCCATTTGGCAAATAGTTAGTAGCACTACATTTTCTTGCCTTACATGTGACACCTTTCCTATACAAATTGTATCGTAATCTTGAAAGAACTTTACTAATGACTGCCAAGAAAGTCTGCACAATTGAGCCAAAAGTATTTTTCTCTCCATAAACGCTAGCTATGAGGAGTCAAGCACTGATGAATATACGACTTATAAATTTGAAAATGAGCCTGTAGCCCTCTTGTCTCTCGCTTTCGGCTAATAAGCTCTGCGAAGTTCAACAAGTGCGTCACCACGAGATTATGTCACATCACTTCTTCCAACATCTACATGCTATCCTGATGTTCTGTGTAATAGTACGCGTCAAAATTTCGTGTTCGTAAAAGCCGCAAGATAAAGTGAGCTAATCATCTGCCTCCGCAGCACCGACATATCAGAATTTCACAGCTGGCTATTACAAATTGTTATATTTGAGCTCTAAATCGAAGTAGGAAATTTGGTTTTATAGAAGCAGGCACACTGCCCGCAAATAGCATGCTTCTTATCTGCTTTCTCCTCACGAAAGTTTAACTCCTGCCTCCTCGAAGCAATATTTGCTGCGCATGCGCGTTGCGTCTCGGACCCTTACGTTATGAAGACGACATAAAAATTTTACATATATTCTTTGCAGTGTCATTATGAGCAAATAACAGATAAAGTATTGCATTTATATGTAGTTTTTTTAACAGTCTTAAGGACACTTCATGCAACAGTATGATCGCGCACTTCTAACAAAAAAAAACTTTTCTCTTGCAGTCTGCGTTAGCTTTAGTACAGTGGATGGGTTTGCCGGCCACGCTAAGGCGCCAAACCAGGAGCCTCTCGATTAATTAAAGTCAAGGGTTCTCGATTTAAAATCAAAGCTTGCGTAAAGCTGATTCTAACTGCATATGTTTTTCTATATTATGATAAAGTCTTGCTCGAGGCTGTGAGTCGTACGGATTACAAATTACGATATACCAGTTTAATGTGTACATACACAATACTAGGGTACGAAACATTACACAATTCTTAACCACTCAAATCACAATCATTTTGTTTTTGTTTACAAACAGTGAGAGCACTACGAGCATCCGCTGCGCCGTAAATTACCCCCTCCCAAGTGCACACATTCGTACCAGCTCTCAGAAGGAGTCTACGCACCGGGAGCGGAACAGTCTACGCACCGAGTATCTACTGTCACGGACTCAGAGCTGAGCTTTCAAAATGAAATACCACAATTATTATTATCAACATGAGCTTTATGGGAAAAAGCGCAAGGGGGCGCGGGACACACTAGCCACTAGCCTCACGGTATGTAATACATAAGGTATCCTTTTTGCAGAAATTCTATTGGGTATTTAGTATAGTTAGACGTAGCTCTAGATATACGTCACTGTTGTTTTAATAAGTGCAGCGAGGCTGTCGTAGCTCTTTGCTTAGAGAAATCTAAGCTAAGGTCACAGACCTTAAGTTCTTACCGAGAAACAGTACAGGCGTAGCGGATCGCAATCCGCTACTTCCAAGTACTAAAAACCTTAACCAAGGCAAATGCACTCTTCCGTTAAAAATCTAAGCTGTATTTCTTTGGTTTATTTGCGGCAGAGCCGCCTATAATTGAAACCTTAGGCTTTTCTGATTAAGTAGTAAAACCTAATCAATATGCATGACTACTGGCAATCCTGCCACGTAGTGGCTTCTTGTTACGGTGTAGTCAAACCATTGTGTGATTACACAACTTGCGCAATCCACACCTTTGTACGGTCACACCATCTTTTGTGACCCACCCTTTCATATAAGGGTACTTATTTTTCCGTTACACTCTCCCCCGTCAAAAATGCGGATACCCACAATTCACATTTAACTGTCGCCTCAAACGATGCTCGCGTGTCTGAGACACCGCTACGTCCCTAAGACCATCTTTGAACATTCTCCGCTCAATGAGCTCTGTGTCTATGACACGAAAAACTTTCGGCCTAGCTGGTTTCGAGGGTGCTCGCAGGCAGAGCCCTTCTTCGTCTTTTAAGGAGGTGCACCTCCGGACAGTACGTCCGCGACTTCACGGAAAGCACCTCCCAAGCCCTCGGCAACCGAGCGCCACACACCACGCCCGCCCCAGGCGACGGATTTTCTCGTCGAAGATTCGGAGGACATCCACTACGAGCCGGTACTTCTTCCCAGCATGAAAGACGAAGAGGGTGAGGTTCGCCAACGGCGCGACGTGAACCCTGCTCGAACCTTGCGGACACCGTGTCCGTTCCCTGACTTCTTGATTTCCGGGGGAGTGGTATTATTACCAATCGCTTCGACGAGACACAGGAGCAGCACTTGGAGACTGCCCACAAGGCGGCCCTTATTCGCTCGTATCCACGTTCGGTCCTAGACCCTCGTGTGGAGTACGGCTTCCACTCGGCGGATCCCGCTACTGGAGCAAAAGACGCGGTCACTCGATCGTTAGGCGTCTACGTAGCCGGGGCCCCGGCCACTACACAATCTGAGCGACACATAGAATCATCCATCACGCTCTCGCGAGCTCTGTGGCTTCTCAAACGGGTGAATCTACGACCACAGCAGCTCAGGGCCATAGCTTGAGCTCAGCATATGGCCCTCCGGCTTCCTGGGCTACTGCCGAGAAGCGCCAGACACTCGATGACGCGAAGCGTCATGATCCTCCTGGTCATAAGCATCCACGACGTCTGGGCAGTCTTGCCGAAGTGGCACCTCAAACTTCACGACTTCTCAGAGTTGGGGTATCCCCGCCGCTTCACAAGATATTGGGTTAGACTCATCGACGACGTCGACCCACGAGGTATTCCACGTGGTAGTGGACGCCACCATTCTCATCGAGAAGAGTCAGCGGCTAGCGATGACGACCTGATCGATCGCCGTCCGGTGACTCGCGATGATCTTCGAGCGTTGGAGGACAAAGTCCGTCGTCATTAGCACTCTGCCGAGCATCTTTCCGAGGCCGTCTACCGCTGTGCGGAAGCCCTCGAGAGCCTGGAGCACTTTGTGCACCGACTGCCTCATGTTGAGGATTATCGCGCTCTGTTGGAGCGGCTCCTACCCGTCGAGCAGACAAATACATCACTTCGTGCGACGGTGGAGCGCCTTGCGCCTTTGGAAACGGAGATCGTTGCACTTTGTGCTCACCCAATCAGTTCCGTTTCTCACGACCGAGTAATTGATTTCTCTCAAGTTTTGACAGTTATCAGTCTATTCTAATTCATGATATTCTCGACCCATAAGATCTCCTCAGATATTTTCTAGCTTAGGATTCATCGACTCATCAATAATATCCTACTTCTTGATGAGAATTCGCACTCGCTATAAGACTTAATTGGTCAGTTTGTATCTAGCCACATTTGTTATTGTTTGATCGAGACATTGCCAGCAATGTCTTCGACCTCGCAGTCAAAGGTAAGGATGGTGTTGGTTCATCCTGCCGGACCAGTTGTACTGGGTACACTTTTGATGGTGCTAACATCACGACCGGATAAATTGAAGAGCCTTTTGCGCAGACGTTTAACCAGCTTGTTGACTAGACTCATGAAGTTGCCCTGATAATAAACTTCATACATTGCTTGGCAACCAAATCAATCTGGTGAAGAATGCACTACGTGCATGGACAAGAAATTTTACTTGTTACCAAGCAGGGTAAAGCAAGATACATCGATTAGAGAAATAGGACCAAAGTGTCATAAGATCAGACAAGATGATTGGTGGTGGACTCTTGGACACAATGGCAACTTCATCACTTCGATGAACTTGAACGTTTATTCAAGCGCCGCGCAAATCAAGTCAAACCTATTGAATGCTCTGGGTAGTGGTCCCTGCGATTCACGGGCTGTGAACATTATCATTTGGACATTGCAGAGATTCCAATCATCAATGACCCAGCCATAGGATGAGACCTCAGACTGATCCAATCGATCAAGAGCATAAGCGATACAGAGGGGACGCGCTTGAAAACGCAGACCAGAACTAAACAGCCTTGAATAGATAAACATACACGGATAAATAGGGCCTGAGCGTTTCGCTCGATCAGGTATATTGCAGTGTTTTGTTAGACTTTGCTTTGGTTGCAGACGATTCATGTGTGAGCAAGAATATTATCAGTCTATAACTGCTTGAACCTTGATACAAGTCTCACTTTAGGGTTATGGACAGTGGTAGGTTGGTCACTGGGGGTTTGTATGCTCTTTGATTGTAAGCGGAAGAATAATCTCACTAGCATGTTTTCCCCCAGACTGGCTTCAATCGGTCTAAGATAACGCATCTATGCCCCTTCAAGTACGCTGCTAATTAGCAAGCCGCCACGGAGACGGCAAACATTGCGAGCGGGAACATAAAGGTGATATAAAGAGAGACACATACAACGAACGGAGTCTGCATGTAAAATGCAAATACAAAACGGCGATAGTCTCATAATTATTTTAAGTGGCACTTGAGCGTGACATGCGCAAAAAACGGAATGCGCATAACTTTCGTTTTTTTGCTGACTTATACTTCAATAAATTCAAGATTTTTCCTTGCCCCTAGATCCTTCTAGATTGCACCAATAGTAAAAGACAGCTGTGGTCAGTTGAGTTGTCCACTCAACAATTACCCACTCGACAGATTGGGGGAGCAATCGAGTATTGTGGCGGCGTTGCTAGCAGTTTAGTTCCACATTCTGGCTACAAGGGTAAGACGTTGGCGATACCAGGAAGCTGTGACGTTTTGTAGACGAGATCTTTAAGCACTAAAAGCGGCGGCCAAAAATCATGTTGCCCTCTCTTATTATATTGGTCTTTGTAAACGGAAGGTAACACGAAGCGCTCCGTACGCAATTTTTTTTGGCTCTCTCAATCGAAGCAAATTCTTAGCATTCAGATGTGTTGCATTTAAGGTTTATGTGACGCAATGATTTTGTCTGACCTAAGAAAGCGAATCTGGCGGCTCTTCGTGGCGGATTATTACTTGATCGTACCGCAATTTTTCACAAGCAACCTATAGAAAACAACCGGATAACACAATTATAGTACCGATTATTTAAAATTTTCAGCGACTAGTTCGGCCATCGCGCGACTAAAGTGTTGTGCACCTGGCACAGAGGATCAGTTTACTTAAGGCGTCGCGATTATCATACGCGCAGAGAGTGGACTCGTACGCTCCACCCTAAAGCAGATCTGAGCGTCTTTAAGGTTGCCAAATACTTGGATTCATCTATTTTCAGAGCTACATATATTTAAGTTCTAGCGTAGTTTGAATTTATACTAAATCTATTTATTGTATCATCTTCGGTCGTGCAAAATTGCCTAAAGCTAGCAGCTTGCATGTCTCACAAATCAGTTTACTAAGTACCATCACAATCTGCACAAATGTTTGTCTTGATCCTATATTAAAGTACAACTTATTGGCATTTCTGAAGTCGACTCTGAGTCCGAGGGACAATATCTTGAAGTGTCCGTACATTCTAATACGACACGCACCTTACTATATCCTTCCCCATCAGGCCATTCATCACATTGTTGTTTTACGACATCGCGCATCAGTGAGCGCTTCAGGAGCTCTCATTTCACCGAAAGTTATCATTCCACCATTGCACTTAGCTGTGCTTGCTCTTTCGAGCAAAACTCTCATTTGAACTCTCTTCCATATGGACTTACATGAACCACGAGCTACCGGAAAAGGCGCGGCCCTCACGGCCGACGACGTATTTGCTATTGCCAATGAAGCCGATGTGATGAGCACGATCACAGTGAGCTACTGAGTCCCGATCTTGAGCTTTTTTCTCACCTTGACTTGTCTATGAGGATCTCTGTTTTTAGAGCATTCTCTACGTTCCGTCTCACCTCTATACGAGCTGCAAATATATGCCCGCTGATAAAATGACAAAGTGTGGTAGGACAAGGATTGCAACAGCAATTAATAACATTGATCTGGCTCAACGAACACAAATTTCTCCCTAGAGGCGCATGTCGACATCCATACACTTGTGAGCTATGTTAAAGTCTATGGGTCTTAGCAATTTACCCGCCAATTAAGACAGATGTGTCTCAGCCCTAGCGACGTTTCTTATTTATCGTACGATCTGTAGGCACATATCGCGAAGGCCAATCCCGCGAATATTCCCAAGATACCCGAAAATAGCTTGACCAGATCAACTTGTATAATGCAATTTAAGTGACATGGCACGGCATTTTGCCAATTTTTCCAAGGCAAATGTTACATTGTATTGCGGCGCAACAAAAGCGATGATTTTCCAGGCCGTCAAAGAATGCAACATGGGCTTTGCCATAGGCTGCATTTTACCTTAACCAGATGACATTAAACAAAATCATTGCGTGTAGCTTTTGTCTGCTTAAAGCTGTCAAGGTATGCATTCTTGATTCTGAGCCTTATGTGTTATAGTGTGTCATTACGCTTTTCGCCACAACTTTTGCGAAAATGTCGAGACGGTAATCCTTCTTTTCATCTGAATCGGAATAAGAGCCTTGTCAACTAAAGTGGTGGTAGTCGCACTTCCATGTCGTCCATACATTGATGCCCTTCATGCCACGACGTTAATGCCACGCATCGACAATACTATCAGTATGGAATCCATTTCGGATACAACTTGGATTTCACTTTTGGATTCAAAGAGTTTTGAGCTCAGATATTGCTTAGTATAAGCGTTGGTCAACGATTTTCACTAATATTTCTTGTTATGCTGTACTATTTTCCGGGGCGTTTGCATACATCGTGTGGTTGTTCCTTTTGACAAAAACCTAGAAGCTATCATGCTATATGAGACATATGTTAATTCTCCAAGATGACATCTTGATATAAAACACGTCAGAATTTCAAATATTGATGTACTGGTCGCCCAAGATGTAAAAATGTATTAGGCGCTTGAAAAGCAACCGCAAGTTTGTCGTTATTTACCAGCCCGACATTTTTCACTGACATCGCACTGGCACAGTTTTTTGGTCATCATTGGGTCGATTCCGCCAGCTTCGGTATCGCAGTCTTTGTCGACCCATGAAGCAAAAAATTCGTCTCGTTGCTGCCATCAATATCGTTACCAGTGTAGATCTAGCATTTCTTTCATGGCAAAGGCTTTCGCCAACTTAGCTTATTTGTAGTCACTGTCCTGGATCAAATCCCACGTTTCATTGCGATATTTATGCGACATTTGCTCGTGGTATTTTGTATCATATAAGTAATGTCTTCAGCAGTCTATCTGCGGATAGATTGCCAATGAGTGCTAATCACAATTGTCAATTAGGAAGCAAAACATACTCTTAGAGTATATGCCCCGAGTGATCGTTGGGCTAAAGCGATGTGATTCTGAAGAAACACCAATTATCGTGGTTTTGTCATTCATTCTCAGATATTTTTTGATGCCTTCGCAAATTGGTTCCGATTTGATGTGGGGGTGATCGTCAATTATAATCAGTTTGCTGCTATCAGCGCGGGTACGCATCTTATCAAAGGCAATGAGTTGTTGAAAATATTTATCATGCGCGAGATGTGCGTGCTATGGCTAAAAGCCGAGATGAACAAATGCAACAAGCATATGTCAAAGTCGGATGAGCCCAACTAAATTTACGATCGGCAGCAAAGCCATTTGTACCGAAGAGAAGGCAGACGTGGCGCGTCGGGATCCATTGAGCCAATCCAAATCCCCCTAGCAGAGGATACCTAGTTTTTGTTACCAAGTTAAGCTTTTACAACGGTGAACATCCTGTCGAGGTTGATGCTTCACAATGGAGTGTGATTCATTCAATTCTTTGGACACGCTTTTTTTGAGTATTTGGTTTGCGGGGAACCGGATTAACTTCTGGATATTAATATGTTGCGGGGTACGCACCTTAGTATTTTGTACGTACACGTCAAATATTTTTTTCGATCTCAGAGCAAAGGCCAAATGTCTACTGTTGTGGAGTGCCACGGATAGGAGTGACGCCGTCACTGTTCGCTTAGCGACGGGGACTTGTATCACTCCCTGAGGACCTCGGTGTAAGTTTCTCGACTTCTATAGCGTGGAACGCTGCTTAGACTTAGACTTGGATTCAAGGTATGACATGGTTTGAACACCATAAGCCATGGATCGATTGGAGGTCGAAGACCTTGCGCGCTACGCGCACGTCTCCTGGTGGAGCTTTGGTGAATCATGAACCCACCTCTGCTAGGAAGCAGAAGCGCTATTGGCGCGGGCATGTGACCGGGACGGTCACTGTGCTAGATATCGGAGTATCCGAATTGTCGAACACTGAAGGTGTATCGGACGAGAGTTTTGAGCATGACTTGCGCGCTGAACGTGGAGTGGCACGTATATCACGATGCACTGCTCAAGTTTTGAAGCAGTTGCTGTATGCCAAGAGTGGCATGGTCGGACGAGGTCCGAGGCATTTTGGCTTCTGATGCGCATGGAGTGGCACGTTATCCACTAGTTGAAGACTGCGGAAATCGCAGCTCTTCGTCGGATGTTGTTAATAACATCAAGGCTCCGATGGAGCACTGAATGGGGACACTGGACGACGCTGAGTGTGTGCTCCCACTGGTCTTGATGAGACATAAAACCTCTATAGAAAGGAGACAGCGATGTCGTATGTTATCTGCAAGGCGCAGGGTGTCGACCCTGACCAAGGGTGTGTCTACCGTAGACGATAGCGCACAGCTATATACCATTGTCAGGTATGACGGGAGAGGAAGACGGTAACGTCACCCTCGAGGTTATTTCCGTGGTGATGCTTTTGAGCTGGACGAGATGTCCTTCGAAGAGTTTGGCGGTGTCTTGAAGGCAGGCAATTTAGCCGAGGTGGTCATTATACGACCGAACGAGGAGATGAACCCTGCCGTCGCTTTTGGATGAAGCTGTCCTGGAGGACACCAAGAGGGTGCTGAACGCACAAAGTCGATCGTCGATCCCAGAGGATTCCTCAGATTTGTACTATCGCTCGAAAAAGGAATTTGAAGACGTCGTCTCCAAAGACCCGCCGTCGGACATACCCGGACTGAGGTGTGCGTCATGCGATTGACCTGGTTTCGGGAACCAAATAGTGCGTACCACGCCAATGGCCCCTGCCCAATGAGCAGTGTGACGTCATTGACGCCTTTCCGTGCAAAGCGCGATGCAGGAATGGTGCGTGAGAGCAACTCTTCCCATTCGACACCCACGTTTCGTGTCCGGAAGCTGAACGGCAAGTGGCGTATCACTCATACTTAATAAGCTAAACGCTGCAATCATTCCGGCATAGACGCCGATTCCTAGGAAGGATGTCCCCCGATCAATATGGCTGTACAAAGTACAGTCTACTTGACTTGGTCGGTGGGTATTACCAATTGCTCATGAGAGAGAGCGATATTTCGCTGACAGCGATGAGTACTCCGAGCGAGATGCTCTAAGAGTGGCTGGTGATGCCTCAAAGGCTGTCAAATGCACCAGTAACATTTAGTCGTCTTGTGACGCAGTTGTTCAGACCCCACAGGGCGTATGCACAGACATTCTTTGACGATATCTTCGTCCACAGTCGTGCGGGGCACGGGAGGAAGATAAGGAAAACCACATCGTTCATTTGAGGGCGGTGCTCGAGTGCATGCGCACAAATAAGCTGTATGCTAATGCTGATAAGTGCATCTTCAGCGCAGAAGATATCCCCTTATTTTGGGTGCTTCATTGGGAAGGTTGGCCTTTGAGCGGAATCAGATAAAGTCAAAACTATTGTGGGTTGGCCGGTTTCAAATAATCAAAATAACTTGCGCCAGTAGTTTGGCTTGCCAACTACTTGCACAAGTATAGCGCAAACCATGCGGAGATGATACGGCCATTGTCGACTCTCCTTAAGAACGATGCGGAATGGTGTTAGGACATTGACCATCGGAAGGCATTTGACACGGTTAAATCGAGCCTCCTTCATGTACCAATACTAACGTTGCCAGACCGT